ACCAGCGGCTGAACGGGACCGGTGCTCTCAGGCTGCCGAGGCGGACCGCCGGCCCAGGGGCCGAGCGCCGAGGGCCGGGCGGGCGCGGCCTGGGCGCCTCGGGGCCAGGGCCGGGCCGGCCGGGGGGCGGTGGCGGGGGCGGCCGGCGGGCGGCCGGGGCCGGGTCCGGGACGATGACTCTGGAGTCCATGATGGCGTGTTGCCTGAGCGATGAGGTGAAGGAGTCCAAGCGGATCAACGCCGAAATCGAGAAACAGCTGCGGCGGGACAAGCGCGACGCTCGGCGCGAGCTCAAGCTACTGCTGCTCGGTGAGTGGGGCCGGGCCTGCGGGGTTCGGGCCGGCGGTGCGCGTGCCGGGCGGGCGGGCGGGGCGGCCCTGCGTGCTGGCCACGGCCCTGCGTGCTGTCCAGAGCGGGTTCGACCCCCGCGGAGTCAGCCCTTGCCTACCTGTGCTGTCCACCTCTGGGCCACCCGATCTCTGCAGCCCGTGTTGTCTAGGTTGAGTCCCTGACATCAGAGGGGCCAGGCCCTGCCTCTGTTGTCCACATCAGCGCCCCAGACCCTCGGGATCTGCCCGCGCCTGTGCTGTCCGTGGCAGGTCAGCAGTCCCTGCAGCGCCAGCGCCTGCCTCAACTGTCCAGATCAGGCCCCAGTTTCCTTCAGGATCAGCCCCTGTCTCTGCTGTCCAGGCGGGGTCCCCAGGACCCTTTGGGATCAGTCCGTGCCTCTGCTGCCCAGCCCCGATCCCTGCAGGGCCAGCTTCTGCTTCTGCTGTTCCGTTCGGGCCCCCAAAACCCTCGAGGCTCTGCCCTCTGCCCCTTCTCAGGAGACAAGCCTCCTCCCTGCACAGGGCTGGCCCTCCATCCCTGCCCCCGACAAGTGTGCCCCCTCGCTGCCCCCAGCATCTATTCAGGGCCAGACTTTTGGGCTGTAATCCACAAGACGCACCCCTTGCCTCCTGGCATCCCTTCTCTACTTTTCCCACCAGGTGGAGCCCTGTTCCCTGCAGGCTGGGCCTGTTCCCCTCCAGCCCCCGTTGCCTGAGGCCAGTCAGAAAACCCATGTCCCTCTCCAGTGGAGTGCAGTCCGTGGGGGAGAAGACAGCCTTTCCTCTCTTCTTGCGGCCGGGGCGGGTGGAGCCCTGACGGAGCAACTGTCTCCGTCTGGCCCCTCTCCTTACGTCCTAGTGGGAGCCGGGTCTCCTGGGTCCTCTTCTCCCTCCTGGAGAGGATTCCTGTCCAAGTCTCCGTCTCCCCCACTGCGCACCTGTTGCAGGAAACCAGTCGGCCCAGCAGTCGGCAAGCTGTTGTCACCCCAAATAAGGGTTGTTGGAGGACTTACCTCCGCAGTCAAAGGCAAGAAGGTCGTTTACACAAGCGAAGCCCTTGCCCTGCCTTCTCAGGAGCTCTGCTGCATTCCT